AGTTCACATATCATTCCTATAAATCCCACTCCCCTTTCTGTGTCTCTTTGTCTTGTTATTTCTCAGTGATTTTAAGCTGATGGGTGCCGTACTAAAGACATGTGATGGGCTCGCTGGTGAGTACACAGCTGAAGACAAGAGTCTCCACCCAGAATTCATCATTAGTCAATAACTTGTGAGCAGAACCACATGAATCCACACCTGATGCACAATTGATCACTGACAGGATCAGTCTTTGTAGGACCAGGGCAGTCTGCATAGTTCACTGCTGTGGTATGTTCTGTATGTCCTGTGGGAGCCTGTTCTCAGGTTCCTCTTGACTTTACCCAGCAGGTCCCCATAGAGAATGATTAGGACCACAGGCCCGAGTGCAGGTGTCTGAGATGGTCTGCACTTGGCTGTTCTGTGGGATGGTCTGTATGTCAAGTTGCGCTGATTGGTCAATCAATAAAACACTGATTGGTCCGTGGCTAGGCAAGAAGTATAGGCAGGACTAACAGAGAGGAGAAATAAAAGAACAGGAAGGCAGAAGGAGTCACTGCCAGCTGCCACCCTGACAAGTAGCATGTGAAAATGCAGGTAAGCCACGAGCTGTGTGGCAGTGTATAGACTTGTGGAAATGAATCAATTTAAGCTATAAGAACAGTTAGCAAGAAGCCTGCCACGGCCATACAGTTTGTAAGCAATATAAGTCTCTGTGTTTACTTGGTTGGGTCTGAGCGGCTGTGGGACTGGCGGGTGACAAAGATTTGTCCTGACTATGGGCAAGGCAGGAAAACTCTAGCTACAGTTCACATTTGCAATGGCTGTGTTATGCCCAGAAGATAACATTTGGCCACCATTTCCCCAATATTTTGGCTCTTATATTCTTTCTTCTTCCTCTTCCATGATGTACATATGCAGTGATATCTACCATGAATCTCTTCCCATGGCTATACCCAAATGAGAGAAATGCATGGCATCATTCATTAGGTCAATCATCCTACCAACAGCTTCTGTCATTTGCTCCTTCCTGTCTTTATATGATTCCCCATCAAATAGAAAGCCAATTTCTTTGATTTCATATACGTCAACAAGCTCTGATGCAATTACCATAGGGTCAACTGAGATAAGAAATGCTGATTGTAGCTGAGGGGATGGTCCTTATAATTCTTCTTAAAATATATTTTTAATTGACATAGGATTATGTCATTCTCCCTCTCTATTTCTGCCCTCTAGCTCCTCCTAGGTACACTCCCTTCAAGGTCTCACATGCCTCCCACTCTCAGGTTGACAACCTCTTTTGATTTGCTTCTCATTGCCATTATGTATATGTTCATGTGTTTACACAAATATAGGCACTGTCTGTTGAGTCAGTCTGTTTATGTTTGTTGTTTGTGTGTATATTGTTTCAGAGTATCAAACCCTCACCAAGAAAGCCGGTCCTTACAGCAAATGGAGGCCATCACAAAAAACCACAAGGGGACCCAACAGCAGAAATCCATGAATTATGGATAGGCTCCAAAAGATACTTCTACATCAGAGGTCCTGCATCTAATGCCCAGGGAACATTACAGAAGAAGGCACAGAAAGATTGTAAGAAATAGAATATCAGGAAGTCTTGACAACAGTTTCTCCTGGAAAGGGCCAAAGAAATGTCTAACTTACTTTTCCCTGAAATAAACAAGACCTGAACAATGCCCTCTTAGTGAACATATTAATGTGAAAAGATGTATCTACATTGTGTTCCATGTATAGGCAGAGAACTACAGTTAACTAATGACCATTAGAAGAGGGAGAATTAGTCTCTCTCATGCATGAGTTGCTTTATCAGGTGTCCAACACAGAGTGGTATTATTAGCTCCATTTGTGAGGACCAGCAAAAGTTTTCAGTCTCATTGAACATAAGATTTATTTTCATTCAATGTGTGGAAAGAAACTGAGGTCCTCTACAAGCGATGCCAGTGCTCTTAAGTACTGATCTCTCTCTGCAATATCTCATTAATGGTTTCATTAATTAAATTTGTTCTTTAATCATTTCAGGCTTGTATATAATGCATTCTAAGTACTCCCCCTCTCTTTTCTGTCTCCTGGTCCTGTCAAATTCTATTATTCTCTATAAATCAATTTCTGCATTCTTGTCTTTTTGTTTTGTTTTGTGACTCTCAGATCCATTTGTGTAGCCAAAGATTTAGAACCATCCATGAAAGTAGTGAGTTCACCAATGGGTGGGTACACAACTGAAGACAAAAACTACGCACTTCCCAAAATCTGTCAGTAGCCAATAGTTCATCAGGGGTAGGGTTCCAAAAGACCTTCCCATCTATGAATAGTTGTTGACAGTCTTATTCAGGGTCAGAGCAAGTGACCACAGCCCTTCTAAGTTCATATTTATAATAGCTGTACCATTCTCAGAAGATAGAATTTCACAACTCTCTTCCATGACTTGTAATACTTCTTGTAATACTTGTAATGCAGGTACTTGTGACATTTCTGCTCTTCTTCCCACATTGTTCCTTGTCGTGCTGTACATGTCTTGTTTTGTCTTATCAACCAACCATCATTTATTGTCAGCGTCTTGTGCAACCATGAGGGAAATGGCATTTCCGGAGAAAGTAAATAGGGAGTCTGGAGGCAGCCCTCACTAGAGCGCTGAGGAAATGAGAAGCAGGTGTCTAGGGAGTGAATTGCACCTCCCTATGGGGCTGCTGTAAGGACAGCCACAAGACAAGTTTCAGCAGCCTCTCTCGCTCTCTTGTATGCTTGTCTATCCAGTCAAATATTATGACTCCTTGGAAGAGATGCCATGACTTTGACATTCACAAGCCTGCACTGTCTAGTTAAGATGTGAAAGAGGAAGAGGATTTTGTGGTTTGTGAGATAAATCAGCCCATAGTTTAGCACTGGTCCATCAGAAAAACCTGCATAATCCAGGAGGCTCTAGATAAGAAGGAAACCTGACTGGACTTCAGGAAAAAAACATCTCATAGGGCACCTTATTCTAGAGCTAAGTCTACACTCCAGGACCATGATATTGATGAGTGAGTGCATTTCTAGTTGTCCCAGGTTACTTTTTTTCTAACTGTTGACCAGGAGCCACTCTTGGGCAGTACAGATGGTGCATAGCCAGTATGGACTGATCCTAGAAATGTTGGGCAGGTCCTTTGGCAGAGGGCAAGCAGTAAACCTCCCTAAACTCATTCTCAGAACTGAGCCAAGCTCTGTGGTTCCCTGGGGGGACTGGAGTGACAATCCTTTGTGAGAGGACAACATAATTCCAGGAATATCATCTCTGTAATGATGGAAGCTCAGATCTATGGTGCAGATAGACCCCACTGGAACATAGGAGCAATGCTCCTTTTCCATTCCAATTATTGAATGGCACCATGTAGGGAACTAAACCATTGTTAGCTGCCCTGTTTTCAGAAATTCCTTGGATCTAGTGGGGACAGGTGAAATAACACCCATTGTTCCCACTCTCAGGATCTCCTTTCAGAAAAGGCATCTTCACTTATAAGTGTCTACTATTACAGCCCAACACTGGCTGTCAATGAACAAGTTGAGTGCTCATTTAACACACTGGCTCCTTTCCTCTTAGGGGGCTACTAGAGAGAATGCAGCATGTCAAACCCATCCAGTTTCTAAAGACAGTCCTGAAGAGCACATAATATGTGACATCATATTCATGAGACTTTACTAAGTATTCCATGATGTTAACACCATGATAAACATTTACTAAATGAGATTCTTTGGTCATACCCTGCTGCTAGTCTTAAGAATGTATTATAAAAGGAAAAGAATACCTCATGAAAAAGTGAAATTTACCAATCATGTAAATTCCATCCAATGTTGCAAACCAGATGTTATTGATGATAATAACAAGGTTAAAATTAGAAACATACATAATGGAGACAGCTTTTGAGGAACAGTTAGCATTTGTCAATGTCCCAGAGCCATTCATCATGGACACTTTGAAGAAATTAGAACAGAGAACTTCCAGCATCAGAATTACTTCATGTGCCAAACCTCCAAAGTTAACATCATAGTGAATGGTAACAAAGCAGAAATTTTGTATTAAATCTTGAAGAAGATTCCAGAATCTCCTCTCTTCACACATTTCCAGCATTGTACTTGAAGATCTCATTAGTACAGAAACAGAAGTAAAAGTAAATATATATATTGAAATGCTCTTCCCAGCAAGGTGATTCTGGAATGATTGATCTGCATGCCAATTTCTCTTACATATACAAAAAATAGGCAATGGAGAATGAAATGACAAACATAAATTTCATGCAACTTTCCCACCATCACACTTGTAAGGTTATTTTGCTATTGTGAAGGTGTCTTTCATGGGGTTATATAGAGTGGTCAGCAAATGCCACATATCAGGGTTAAGAAAATGCTTTCAAAGTTGTGCCTACACTACCTTGACAGACAGTCTTCATTCCACCAGTGTGATAATATTGGCTTTATATTCACGAGAAACTGTATGAGGAATAACTATTGAAGACTGACAGGTTGGAGTGTCATAGTGAGAGTTTTGGAGACTCATAGGCAGAGTAACTTTGAATTCTGGGCTCTGACTTTACTCATAATTTTTGCTATTGACACACCTTTCTTGTTTTTGCTCAACAGACAGAAGCTTCTGCCATGGAGAATGTGGCAATGTATAAGAATGAAAAATGACACATGAGAGGGAAGGAAGAATGTACAGAAATGAGGACCCATGCCCAGCAGATGAGACAGTGTATTCCCTCACTTTATAGATTCAGAAAATAATTGGGTCAGTCAGCAAATGCCTGTAGTAGGTGGAGGGATATGAATTTGCCTAGGAAGCATCTCATCACAACCCTCACATCACAACCTTCCTCTGCATCCAAATCACATTTGCTCCCTGGACATTTTCTCACAACAGTTCCTCAACATACAAAAAGGACTTTTGTACAGAAAACTTGGATCATCAGGTTTATTTTCCATGCTCTGGAACCCTGTGAGATGTACTTTTTTTGTCTTCTGATTACATCCCAGCTACGTGTTTGCCCTGTCTCTGGCTCCACCAACCTTCAAAGATGAGAATTCCAATGACTATGAGGATCATGACAGCCATCCCCATCCTGATGAGATTCTCCAGTGTGTGATCCTGGTTCTCTGAGGCTGTGGTTGTGGACAAAGAAGTTACAGAGGTTAGGGACAGTCAAAACTTTCTCAAGATAACTAAATACCCCCAAGATAACTAAATACCCCCAAGATAACTAAATGTTCCCAAGATAACTAAATGACCAGCCAGGGATCATGTCTTCATTGGACAGAACTTGACCCTCTGTTTTCAGTGCTATGACTTTGAATTCTCTTTATGCAACTCTCCTGAGATTGGGAATGTCCTAGGATGGGCTTGATAGTCTCAACTGATCCTGAGAACGGAAGAAGAGTAGGAAGATGTGTTTATGCTTTGGAGACCTGAGTATTTCATCTGCATTCTGCTCATTTACTGTAAAATACCCATCATTCTCATTCTATAAACTCATGAAGTGCTGGAATGGATTTTTCCCCTGGCATAGCTGGGTTCCCTCCCCTATTCTTACTAGTTATTTTTTTAGCACCATTTTTCAAACACCAGTGAAAATATCAATTCAGAGTAGAATAAATTATTAAAACATTATTGGCCTTGATCCTAAGTCACCGCACTGAGCAGCCACAGGACCATTCTGAGTGTGGTATCTGTATGTCTGGTAAACTGAGCAGAGGTTGTGTGGACTCACATCCTCAGTCTGGGATGATTTCCTAAATAGGTGCTTTTGCAGAGTGTTTGTTCCATTGTAACACTTAGACTCTCCCATCTCTCCTGTGACCTGAGCATTCCCCTGATCTCTTCTGAGTACCCAGAGACCAGGAAGCGGTGGTTGAGGAGGAACTATCTTATTGCCCCAGAGAAGAGATATGGTTTCTGCTAAGGTTGAGAACCGGTGTCTTGCTGACAAACTTTCCCAGATGTGTCTCACCACATCAGACTAAGAAATTTCTGTATGCCCAGTTCAGGTAGGAGTACATCCTTCTGATGTAGATTGTTCTCCATCTCTTTTGTTTCACATATCACTTCAGAAATGCAGGACCAAGGTGTGGGGCAGTGCTGTGCAGTGTTTTGTAATCGTGGCTCTCAAAAGAAGATGTGAGGTGTGTGTGTGTGTGTGTGTGTGTGTGTGTGTGTGTGTGTGTGTGTGTGTGTAACCAGTAAAGATAGTAGATGGGAAGCCACTGGGCTTTCACAGAATATTTCTCCTAAAGGCATGGCTAGCCAACACTAAGAATAGATGCCAAGACTAACATATCTAACCCTTACTTTTCTCATCTTTACAAATAATAGATACTGAGACAAACAGGACGGCTGTAGTGTGAGGAGAGAGTAGTGCAGCTCTTCCATCACTTTAGGGTAAGTTGTGTACAGCCCTTGGCAGCTCTATCCCTAAACTTCTTGCTTAGATGAGTGCACCAAGGGTAGGCAGAAGACTTTCTTAGCTGTCACCTCTCAAAGGAAGGCAAATCCATTATTCTCAATTTCTCTATTTCACCCTGCAGTGAAATGTTGCAGACTTCACAAGGGAGCAGGTTTGACTGACACTTCTGGATTTTATTTTACTTAATGTGATCATTGTTATTTTCAGGTTCTTATTTCAAATTCTATCTGGTAGGGTTGAGCTATGGCTGTGGATCTGTTTTGAACAAAAGGAAAATATAGCAGGACCTGTACTTATTACAGAAAAGCTACCTCCTCCACTGGAGACACTGTGAGTCATACATGCCCTGACAGTAATGGTCTTTGAATACTGATAACTGAAGGGTGATGAGCAGAGGTTGTCACTGGGGACCAGTTTCTGCTTAGTAGCCTATATCTGTCTGTGGCCTCTAAAAGATGCTCTTTCAGACTATGTGATACCTTCTGGACTCCATTAACAGAGACTGTAGTGAGTATTCCTAGGAATATCCATGTTGGCCTCCATCATCATGAAGGAGAATATCCATCTGACTGAATCTCTGCAGCATTTGTAACCCAATCCTAGTCAACAATTGTAAATTAAGAATGCTGATATAACCCTTTATCTCAGAAATACCTGGATCACCTCAACTGGAACCATGAACTCCACAAGGATAATGGCACATGACAACAGGTACAGAGATGAGTTGACATATCTTGTAGCACCTGTAGGTGCCACTGAGACAAGAGGTCACAGAAATCATGGAGAATACTAGAAATATGCTCACGATCTAGAAGAAGGTAGCCTGGATGCCCTGCCATGGCCGTGTACCTACCCCTACCATAACAATATGGTACCTAACATACCATAGTCACTGTGGGACAGATACACTGCAGAATAAGTTTCTGGAGGATTTTTCTGTCATGAGAAGTCACAGCCAAGGCCAGCACTGAAAGCAACTTAGAGATGTGGGCCACACTTCTACCTTTTATATGCAGAGAAGCAGCAGCCCAGAAATGGAAGAAGTTGCCCAATTTATCATCTCCAGAAAGAGCTGTGTCAAGTCTACAAGTAGCTATTTTCCATCAGGGTCACTCATTCTAGTAGGGTCTTTACATAGTCTTCTGGGGCCTGACTGCATGTGGGTGAGGGTTGTGTTCTCAGAGTCTTAGTGGCGGGATGGGGAGTTGAGTGTCTGTGTTTCCTGTTCTCTACCTACCCACCTGGTCCATCCTCCAGACTGAGCCTAAACATCTTTCTCTCTCTGGATGGCACCTTCTATAGCACAAACTAAACCCTAAGATTCTGGGGTTTCTGTGGGGATCTGTTTGCCTCCCACACTCAGAAGTTGAAGCCACAGAGACATGAGGACTTTTATGGCCTATGAGCCGGCAGGCTCCCTGGAGATGGAGCATACACCCTGCACCAAAGGGCTTTGTACTCACCAGGTGTTGGCATAGGCCCTGAGGGTGGTGGACTGGAAGGTCTAATGGATCCTAGAAAAAGAACAATTATAGGATGAAAGTTAGATGCTAACCAAGAGACCTGCCTCTGCTCACACTTTTACATCTGCTCTATAATATCCCTACAATCCTCATGCTGTCTATGCCAAACCAAGATTACAATAGAGGATGGAGTGGACATTAGTAGAAGGACGACTGCTGGCATCCACTTCTTTGGCAGGGAAATTGCCTTCTGACTAACCTTTCTATTGTCCCCTTAATCCCACCCAAGTCAAGGGTTGTCCTAGGGTTTGGACTTAAGTCACCATGAGAGTGCAGGGTCACCTCACCTGAGACTGTGAGCTCCACAGGGTCACTGGCTTGTGTCAGCAGGTAGAGAGATGAGTCCCAAGAACCATAGCACCTGTAGGTGCCTGAGAGAGCAGTGGTCACAGCACTCATGGAGAATTCTGCCTGGAAATCCCAAACTTGAAATTTTGATTTTAGTTGCTGGGGTTGTTGGGCTGCTCCCTCCTTGGACAGAATGAAAGTGTCTACTTTGTTTGTTGACTGACACAGCAGGGTCACGTTGTCTCCAGAGTGTACTGTGGAGTTAGGCTTCATTGAGAGGGAAGGACTGAAGGGAAGCTGTCCTAAAGAGAAGAGGGATGATGAGAGGCTGCTTTCAATGTTCTGAGCTGACACCTCACCTGTGAATGCCCTGAGCTCCTGGTACTCTGTCTCTTTTCTCTTCCTGTGCCAGTTTCCTGCTTCCCTATATCCACATCTGTTCCCTAATAAGAGTTCTATCATTTATCCCAGTCATCAGCTACTAGACTTCCCCATGACAGACCATGCAGATGCTAAGTACCTGATTGAAATTTCTTGGTTCCTTACCTGCGATCAGGATATCCAGGGGGTCACTGGAGGCTGACCACTCAGAGGAGAGATTGTATGCACCATAGCATCTGTATTGGCCTCCAGTGGAGCTGCTCACAGAATCTAGTGTGAAGTTGGACAAGGAGAAGCCAGTCTTGGTTTGCTGGTTCCCGTGCTCAGTCAGGTTGTCTTCTCCTACCTTGTACAGAAGAAATCTGTCATAGTTGATGTCAGAGCAACACTGCAGGGTGAGGCTCTTCCCAGGGTCCAGGATATGGCCTTGGTGAGTGAGCAAGGAGGGCTTCTTGGACAGACCTAGAGGGAAGGTGACAGGTTAGTAATTGAGGAGCTGGTTTTTAACCAAACACTTATCCCCTCCCTTCCTGCCCTGCACACATCACTGCTTCTTCCCAGGAGTAGGGCTCTGGCTCAGCCACTAGGCTTTTCCTCTACCACTGTCTACCAACAACTACCCAATGGGACAGGTCCATGGCAAAGGGCTTAGGGTGTCAGTCAAGAAATGATTGATCAATCATGGGGCTGACTTACCTGAGATGTATATTTTCAAGTGGTCACTGGGTACTGACCATAACTGTGGGGTATCATTGTAGTAGCCATAACATTGAAATGTCCCTATATGATCTTGGGTCATAGAAGCTATAAAGAAATAGGCTTGGTACTGCCTAATACTGTGTATATACTGTGAGTTCATGGAGCTGAGGAACTTCTGATCTTCCTTGGTGAGAATGAGCTTGTCATATCCCACCCATGAGATACACTTGAGAGTTATATTCCCTCCTGGGGATATCACAGGGCTAGGCAGGGCCGTCAGGTGGGGTTTCTTGTAGTAGATTCCTAGGAGAGAGGGAAGCAGACTATTGCATGGGATCACACAGCCACAACGCTCTCCAGGGCTAGGCTTTGGGAGGGGAAAATATAAGAGCAGAGCCTAGTATGGAGATGCTGACTGTCCCCTCACCTGTCACCACAATCTCCAGGGTGTCACTGCGCTCTGACCAGCCAGCTGAGCTGTAACAATAACAGTGATATTGTCCTCCATGTTCCTGTGTCACAGAAGGGATGGAGAACTTGGCCTTGTTCTCAGGCATCTCTGGGGTCTGTGTGCCCCAGGTTTTCTGGCTTTCCTCTTTATGCAGAACACATATTTCTGCATTCATGGTCCCCTCACACCAGATGGTCACAGCACTTCTGCAAGTGACCACAGAGCCTGGCTCAGCCTTGATGGTCAGTTTGTGTAGGGTCCCTGCAAGGAAGTAGGAGAGAAGAAGTTGGGTCTTTCTGAATGTGGCACAGAGAAAGTCACACATGCAGATGGCACTTTTTTCTTTTTAATTTATTCTTCCCTGATACAATACATCCTGACAGCAGCCTACCCACATCCCCTCTCCCCCAGATTCACTGCTCCTCTGTTTCCTTTCAGAAAGAACATGTTTTCTGGTGATATCAACTGAACACAGAATAACAACATGCAATAAGACTAGTCAGACACATTCAAATTAAGGCTGGACAAGGTAACCCAGTAGGAGGGAAAAGATCCCACATGCAGGCAAAAGAGTCTGAGACATCCTCACTCCCATTGTTATGAATCTAACAGAAACCCCAAGCTAGCCAGGCAGTGGTGGTGCAGGCCTTTAATCCCAGAACTCAGTAAAGAGATGCAGGGTGATCTCTGTTAATTCAAGACCATCCAGGTCTACTGAGTGAATTCCAGGCCAGACAACACTACATAGTGGAACTCTAAAAGACCAAACCAAACCAAACCAAACCAAACCAAACCATCCAATGTAAAGAACCACAGCTTGTGTGCAGAGGGCCTAGGGCAGACCCATGCAGGCTCTGTGCTCACTGTTTCAGTCCCTGTGAACCCTTATGATCCCTGCATACTTGATTACATGGGCCGTGTTCACTTGATGTCCTGAAGGCTCCAGTTCCTGCATCCCTTCCTCCCTCTCTTCTGGTGGGTCCCCAGAGCTATTGTGGATGTTAAATTAGTTGATCCAGAGTAACAGAAGACCCCATAAGGATTCATCTCTGTCCTGGACCTCCTGGACACTGCTGTCACTTTCTGCCTTGGATTCTGTATCTTGTGTCCCACTCTGCTATGTACTGTGTCAATGACTCAGGAGCCATGGTCCTCACACACACCACACACCATGGCCTCCCTGAACATATGCATAATTTTAGCATTATTCTAGGGAAAGGCTGGGGTTCCTCACCTGAGACCAGGAGCTCCAGGGGGTCACTAGGTTCTGACCACAGCTGTGGTTTGTTCTTCTTAAAGCTGTAGCATCTGAATGTCCACCTTTGACCAGAGGTCACAGGGCCCACAGAGAACAGGGCCTGGAACTCTCTAGTAGAGTAGTTATACTGTGAGTCTTGTGTCCAGGAGAGCTTCTGTGGTCCTTCCTTTACCAGAATAAACCTACTATATTGCTGTCTTGAGATACAGTTCAGGGTGACATTCCCTCCTTCAGTCACCACATGACTAGGCTTGGCTGACAGGCTGGGTTTACTGTAGGCTCCTAGGAGAGAAGGAGGAATCAGTTAAATGTCCTCAAGGCCTCATTGTCCTCCTGGTTGTGAGGTAGGAGCCATTCCTGTTATCAGATCCACTTTATAGCAGTCAAGCCTGAGGCTAGAGACCCTTTGGGTCCTCTCACCTGTCACCACCAGCTCCAGGGAGTCACTGAACTCTGACAATCCATCACCGGTCCTGTAGTGACAGCGATATCATCCTGCATGTTTGTGGTCTATTTTTGAGATTGAGAATTCCGCCTTGTCCTTAGGTGTCTGTGGATTCTCTGTGTGTCTTAAATATTTGTGTCTATCTTTGTAGAGACTGTACTCTTTTGCTCCTGTGGTCCCCTCACACAAGAAGGTCACTGTCATATTCTCAGAGACCACAGAGTCTGGCAGTACTCTGAGGATAGGTTTAGGGAGGGCCCCTGCAAGGAAAATAGCAGCTAAGACATAGGACAACAATCCTCAGATTGCAGACCCAACCCCAACCCTCCAGCCATCCCCATGGGCAGCAGACATGTGTTGTTCTCCATCCTCACTGCCCAGGCATGGCTGCAGGAATGATGAGAAGTGAAGGTCAGGACATCTGCAGACATTCACTCACCTGCCAGTACTGGGGTCCCCAGGCCCAGAGTCAGTCCTGTAAGAGAGTTCCCTGTGAGAGGTTTGCCCCTGAAGCTTAAGCAGCTCCTCCCCTGTTCAAAACCTCCTGAGATCCTGCGGTTACCCAGTGAACCAATGCTAGGCTGTGGGGCATCGTTATTCTTAGCCCACAGTGTCTGGTCCCCCTTTCCACATCTCACCCATATAGATTAGGACTGTGAAGGTGAAGGTCATGGCATCTCCTCCTGGAAGCTGTAACTCTGCTTATGGACAGAGCTACAGAGACTGTCTGGAGAGACAAGAAACACAGGGTGTGGCATCTGGAGGCTGGGCACTCCCCATGACATGGTTGTACTGGAGCAGCCCCACAGGAAGGGGAAGTGCCCTCCTCAGGCACCAGGCTCTGACTTCCCCAAGGCTGTGGCTAGGTCAGGTAGTAGACTCTGCAGTCAATTCTTTGATGGATGAAATTTCCATAATCCCATCAGTGTCTGTCTCATCTATCCTCATCCTTGTTGGGACCAGGTGGTAGCAGACATGTATGAACATTACCCATATTAAATACAAATTTATGTGTCGGTTTGCTTTATTCCTTTTCACACTTTTTATGCAAAATTCTTCTTCATATTCAAAATGTTTGAAGGTCTCACTGTGTACATCTGCATGGAATAAACTTTATAATTGTCTTCCTCATAGCCTCAAGTGATGGGTTACAAAAAAATGTACATCACTATTTTTGGTTGTTTGTTCCTTTTTGATGTATGTACTTCTATTACAACTTTAAATCACATTCATTTAATTACACTCACTTAATAACAATAAATTACACTTATTTTCTTCTTTATGTGTGTATATTGAAATGTGCCACAGACACTCGTGGAGGACAGAGGACAAGTGTAGAAGGCAGATTTCTGCTTGTGCAATGTAGATCACAGTCAGGACTGAAGGTTGGCAGCAGTACTCATACACTGGTCCATGTCACTAGCCCAATCTCGGCATCATCATTTTCCTTAGTCCTTCTGCTTCAGGCAAAAAATATCCAATGTTTCCCCATGGGTCCTGGACCAAACAAGGTCCCAGCATTATTTGATGTTCTTTAGGAGCAGGCTGTTGGTGTGGCCACACATTTTGAAGCAGTTGACCACACAGGGATGCAGGCACGTACAGCGTTTGTGGGCAGCAGTGCATGGCCTTGTTACAGTTGTGTTTGTGGAGAAACTGGCCAAGGGATGGTTTTTTGATGCCACCACACAGGCACAGCATCAGTTGAAGTGTGAGACTCTTCCTGGACCTTGCTGTTGGCCAGAGTGCAGCCACCCTCTATCTGCTGGCAGCAATACTACCTGCTGCTGGTCAGGTGGGGTGCCTCCATTGTCTTGAATCTCAACCTTGCCATTCTTGAGGGAGTAACTCACTGGGCCAGACCATGAGGGTAATAGTCTTGTCCGTCAAGACCTTACCAAAGCCCTGTATGTTGGTGTCTGTTCAGCCACCTAGTTGAAGAAAAAGAGAGCTCAGTAAAAATATTTTCTTTCCTCTTCTCTTTAGTGCGAGGGATCGATGGCAGGGCCTCCAGTATTCTACTGCCCTTGAGACATACTCCACCCCGGGCCACACCCACCTTATCCTGCAATTGCAAAGTTCTTATCTTTAATTTTTTTCAATCTTCTATATGTTTCTTTTTGTTGAATTTTATAATTTAATTTAATTTTACATATCAGACACCAATTCCCCTGTCCTCCTTCCTCCCACGCCCTCTCCCTAACTTATCCCCCATTCCCATTTCCTCCAGAGTAAGGACTCCCCTGGAGATTCAGCTCAGCCTGGTAGATTTAGTTGAGGCAGGTCCAGTCCCTTCCTCCCTTCACCCCGGCTGAGCAAAGTGTCCCAGCATAGGCCCCAGGCTCCAAAAATCTAGCTCATGCACTAAAGACAGGACCTGATCCCACTACCTGGGGGCCTCCCAAACAGTTCAAGCTAATCGACTGTCTTACTTATCCAGAGGGCCTAATCCAGTTGGGGGCTCCTCAGCTATTGGTTCATAGTTCATGTGTTTCCACTAGTTTGACTATTTGTCCCTGTGCTTTTTCCAGTGTCGGTCTCAATATCTCTTGCTCATACAATCCCTCCTCTTTCTTGTTGATTGGACTCCCAGAGCTCCACGTGGGGCCTGGCCGTGGATCTCTGCATCCACTTCTATCAGTCATTGGATGAGAGTTCTACCACAACAGTTAGAGTGTTTGGCCATCTGATCACCACAGTAAGTCAGTTCAGGCTTTCTCTCCACCATTGCCAGTAGTCTATTGTGGAGGTATCTTTGTGGGTTTCCTTGGAACTCTCTAGCACTCTGCTTCTTTCTATTCCCATGGGGTCTTCATTTATCATGGTTTCTTATTCCTTGTTCTCCCTCTCTGTTCTTGATCCAGCTGGGATCTCTCACTCCCCTAAGCTCTCTTTCCCCCAACCTTTGCCCTTCATTACTCCCCCTCACATGCAGTTTGCTCACGTAGATCTCATCCATTTCTCTGTCATTGGGCAATCCCTGTGGCTTTTTAGGGTCCTGTTTGCTACGTAGCCTCCCTGGAGTTGTGAGTAGCAGTCTAGTCATCCTTTGTTTTATATCTAGTATCCACTTATGAGTGAGTACATACCATGTTTGTCTTTCTGAGTCTGGGTTACCTCACTCAGGATGATTTTTTTCTAGATCCATCCATTTGCCTGCAAACCTCATGATGTCATTGTTTTTCCCTGCTGAGTAGTACTCCATTGTGTACATGTACCACATTTTATTTATCCATTTTTCATCTTCTATATTTTTCTTATGTTTATGGGTTTAATAACTTTTGTTTTTGACTGGAGACAGGCTCTCTCATTGGAGCTCATTATGTAGGCCAGGCTGGGCTGGAACTCACAGAAATCCTCCTGCCTTTGTTTCCCAAGTGTTTGGATTAAAGGTGTAGGCCACCAAACCTGGCCATGTACTTACTACATTAATTGTTTGAAATTGTCCTAGCAGTATGCATTGTGTTTTGATGGAGTCCACCCTTCCAACCTCCCCTTGTTCCTTAACCATCTCTTGCTAGTTCCCTGCTCATGGACCTGATTTGCTTTTTGATTCCTTCTGTGACCTGCAAGTTGTAGAAAGTCCACTGCTTTTCCTTATACACATAAATTTCTGTTCTCTTTGTCTCATGCAGCTCAATTTGTGCTTCCCATAGTTTTGGGCTTCCCCCATTAATGAAAACTGACTCTCCCTCTTCCAATAGGCATGAAATGCCAATAGCTCTTGATCTGTGGGTGGTACTTTGTGTCCATCTCCCATCACCATACTAGATTTGTTCTTCATTGAGCTTACATGGGGCTTGTAGATGCCATCACAACCACTGTGAGCTCAGATGTTCAACTTTTCTGTGTTGTCTAGAAAGGAGTTTATTGTCATCATCCACCATGTCTGGGTCTTAAAATTTCAACCTCTTCAGTAATGACCCCATGCTAGGAGTGTGTCACATGGATAAATTGTGTAACTTAGCATCACCTCCCAGGATGGGTCCAGGGCACACATGTCTTGTTTGTCACATGGAGAAAGAGAGAGGTGTCACTGAGCATTTCTTCCTTTTGTTGCTGAGCCCCAAACACATTCTTAATTTCCTCTTTGTATCAATGTCAATATGAATAATTATCATCCTTTAAGTCTGTCTGTATATTTCCTTTACTGAATCAGAAAAATGATCATTTGGTAGAGTACTTGTGTCTGGGTTTGATCCCCAGTATTGCATAAATATGATGTTGTGGCTCATATCTTTTAACTTCACTCAGGAGTAGAGCTAAGAGTAGAGGGAGTTAAGGAAATTCTTATTATGCAATGAGTTTTGGGTCAGCCTGGGTCCTGTCTCATCAAAGTAAAGAAAACGTCCCCTAGAGTTTGTGGTGAACAGGATCAAATATATTTCCTATAGAACTCTCACACTGTGCATATGTCCCAAGTATTTCATTACATCCATTGCTAAGGAGATATTCTTATCCCAGACCCTGCTTTTTCCACCCCTGTGAGTTGTTATGCCCAATGTGTCACATGGTTGTAGTATATCTTCTCTGTGGATTTCATGGGCACCTGCTTTTTCTGACCTGAGAATAAGTGATGAGGCTTGCCATTTGTCCCAGTCAGGGTTTCACTGAGTGCTGTGAGCTTGTTCATACCGAACTAACACAGGCATCACTGTCAGGGAGAAGAAGTGCTGCCCTCTCCTGGTTGTATATTGGGAGTTCCCACAGAGCATTGAAGCTGGTTTGTTTTTTGTTTTTTTTTTTTGTTTTTTTTTTTTTTGTTTTGTTTTTTGGAGTGTTAGTGCCTGGGCTTTGATCTGTCTTTTGTGATTCTTACCTTTTGTGTCTACTGCCTTCTGTTTGAAGTATATCAATCTTATCTGAGTTCTTCCTGAAAGGTTCAAACCTATTCAAAACTTGGTTGTAGAAGGACTCACAAAAGTGTGAGGTCCTGTCCCTGAGAATTGCACCGGCATTTGTCTTTTTTGGGAAGTTTCAGATAAGAGGTTTGTTATGGGGAAGTTGACTTGCTAAGGTGTAAATTGTCTAACAATAAAAGGGCTTCTCCCCTGTCTCTGCAAAAGCCAGAATTCTTCCTGGAGTGACCCTGTTTCCTCCACATACTTGCATGAAACCAAACACCAACACTTGTCTGGGTGAGATGAGCTCCATGTGGTGAACTTGCCTCAGATGACTGACAGCCACACATGGCATCTCATTCACCCTCTCTGACACAGAAGGGTGAGATGCAGAGTTCAGCAGAGGCATCTTGTTTGCTGGTGTATATGAACTCCCCGGGATGTAGGATCGAGATTCTTCTCCAAACGTGATCCATGGCCTCCATCCACAGCTCTTCACATGGACCACAATTACTGATCACACAGCCAGATAGACTCTGGTGGGTGAGTCCTGTAAACCTGTGTGTCCATCAGAGTGTGCCCAGCTGAGGACGGTTCCTGCTGCTTTTTACAATCAGCTCATGGTGGAATGCAGGAGAGTCTCTGTTTTGAATCTACCTCAGCACTGGGCAGAATCTAAGTAGCTGTATCTTGAGTGCAGGCTGTATTTATGATTCCAGATGCAACCACGCTGTATCTACTGTATCTGGTGTTTTGTTATGTTGGGCAGTGAGTGATTATCTATTCTTTTTGAAGTACTTTCAGATCTTGATTATTCACTTTTGATCAAATTCTTTGTCTTCTTCAATTCGAGAGAACACATCTCCCATTTTTCATTCCCTGTAAATGAAGCACACAAACCCACACCCTCCCA